CCCTCTTTCAAAGTAAGGNTTATCTCTATTTTGTTCTTTCTTTTGGCTTCTCCCCTTATTTTCTGTAATAAGAACTTCTGAATAAGATGAAGTACCTTGTATCTTCCTTCTCATCTCCTTATTAAGTGCACCACTCTTTGCCATTTGCATAGAAATATCACCATTAGGGGTAGCCCTTATCATGGAAACCTGAAATGTCTCCCATGAATCCGGTAAAGAGTTTAATAGGAATAGTTCCAATAGATCATCATCAAATTTTATACACACTCCTGTTAATTGATCATAGCGTTCTTGAAACTCACTCAAGTGATTTGAAACAGAAGTTACTTCCTTGTACTTGAACTCCACAAAATTTTTCAACAAGTACAATTTATTAGTCCTTAACTTAGAAGCGTACAAGGACTCAAGTTTATCTCATAGGCTTCTCGCATGTGTCTCATTCGCAAAAAAAATTATAAACATTATCATCAACAAATAGCTTGATAAATCCACACACCTATTGATGTTCAAAATTCCATTCTTCATCTGACTTGGATTCCGGCTTATTGGAAGTAAAAACATGAAGATGCAAATTTTTCACAAATAGAAAGTCCTTCATCTTGCATTTCCATAGGTGATAATTTTCTCCATTCAAAGGAATCAATTTTATATGTGTCTCCATCATTCATGCAAACTAAACATTCCCTTAACCAAAGAGCTCTGATGCCACTTTGATGGGTAAAGGGCCAAAAAATATAAAAAACTTAGCAAAGAGTAATAATGAAGCAAAAATGCAATCCCCCTTCTTGCGAGAATCTGTAAGGAGCACCAAAAAAATAGAACAAAAACAGAATCCATAGCATAAAGAGACACCAACAATTTTTAACGTGGAAAACCCCTCAATGCAAGAGTAAAAACTACGACTCGTCAAGACCAAAGAAAAATCCACTATGATCAATAATAGGATAGAAAGGAGTCTCCAAGAACAACACCAAATGGTGTTTTTAATCAGCCAATTTAACTAAGCACAAATGCTTATAAATGTGAACAAAGAAGATGAAAATTCTCCAAAGCAGGGTTGTTGATGCGGGACTGATTTCTCCCAAACTATACCTTCGATTAACGATCCGAATGGTTAGAATGAAGAACCCTACGTCTGGAACCCACTGTCCAAAAATCACCTCGATCTAATAGTGAACAACTTCACAACGACGAAAACACCAGTGTAGGTTTAAGGTTATGCGAGAAAGAGTTTCTCTCTTCCTTTTTCTCTCACTTGGTTTTTTCCTCTCTTCAAATGACTCTAATATGTCCTACTAATCTGGCCCATGTCCACTAAACCTAGTGAGATATAATGGTCCACATTATTTGGACCTATTCTCCATATAGGAAGGGAGCCCAATAACCCAATACTTTTTACCATTTATTATAACTTTTAACTTACTTATAAGGGCTCGATCTAACATATTAAGTGCTCGAACCAGGATAAAAAATTTTGTGTGATTTTCTCTATCTCTACACTTTTAGTTTACCAACTATTTGATAAAAGTTCTAATAGAAAATCACAATTTTTAAAAGAACTAATTCACCCCTCCCTTCTTGGCTTTTGACCGTTTCACACTCTTTAAAACATTTTCATTGCGCGATACCAATTTACAACATTAATTTTATCTTATGGAAACTTTAAAAGAAAATTATAATAGACAACATAAGTATGTCCTTTTCCTGGTGTATCATTGGAATGTATTTAATTAATTTTAAAATTGAAAATTAAGAAAATAAAAATATCATTTATTTATGGTTAGTAACTTGACATACCTTCATAGTCTAGTAGGTAGATTAATAACAATTTTGGAAAATGATATGTTAACATGATTTTTAAACATTTTGACACAGTTGACGAGTAATTTTCCAACTGTTTCGTTAATTATTTTAGAAGTTGTTGACGTGAAAATGTTTGGATGAAAAATTGCACAAATGTAATGGCGTGATACTTCCTTTCTTCTTCTTTTCGAGTTTAAGCCTAGAAAACCTAAGTCACTTGTCCAGCATTTGTTTTCTAATTTCTCTTCTTCCTTCTTAGGCGCCAGTTGTTTTTTGTTTTGTTCTTTCTGTTTGTTCTTAGCCACTTTTGAGATTGTGTTGTTTGTTCATTGTTGTGCCAAGCTTGCCTTCTCGTTTGCCCCATTTAGAGGTAAGTTCGTTGTGGTTAGGGAGATTCTTAGGCACAATGCTTTCCTTATTAGACGTAAGTTCTTCATTTGTTCTACGTTGCGAGTTTAGAGTGGAAAACCTAGCTTGTTCTATTTTTCTCTATTTTCTCCTTGCTTTATGTTTCATTGTTTTTTAATGAAATGAATAAAGGTAAAGATCGTGAAGTTGGTCAATGTAGTCATTTCAGCAAGGTATGTGCATTTATATGGTAATGCGAAGAAGTTTAGTGATTTATATATGAGCTATAATGAATTTTGTATTTGCAGCTTTATTTTCATCATTCGTGCAAATCAAAGTATGTTGGTGTTGTGAATGAAAGGTTAAGTGTGGAATAGGAAGCGTTTATTGAAGGCACACCGTTTGGGGGTTGACGGTCTTGAACAATCATGTGAAGATTATTAGGAACATTTTATCTGAGTTATGTAGTATGTGGGTTGAAAGGAGGGGTCATTTTTCCTTTGGTGACAAAGTAGTTGAATTTAATTTTTATATGTATGTTTAGGATTAGGATTGAGTGTTGTGGGAGAACACATTGATTTAAATTAGGTTGGTATACATAGTGAATGTATGAAGTATTTTAGTGCTGGAAAAGTTGATGTTAATGTGATATATGATTTTTTGTTGGAAAAACATCAAATGTACCTATAGAATTTTTTGCAGCACTTATATTTTGTTAGGCATATCTAAGTTTTTGCTACCAAATCAAAATGGAATAGTTTTTCCATACTTTTTAATATTCTAAACGGCTTAGAGAGTGTGGGAAAATATGATCGGGTTAGTTTGGTTTATGAGTATCTGGTGGGGATTTTGTGCAATGCTTCATTGATATTTAAGAATGAAAAAATAGTAAAAGTCACTTCCATGTTGTTGGATATGTTTACATGTTACAAGTAAACCATGTGTATGTAGTTGTGTTTGGAAAGGATTTTGTTTATATTGTATGATGATGTATGACTAGTTTTGTTGTTGTTAATGTTTCAGTTATGGGTTTTTTGACCATTTTGTCAATTGCAACCCAAAGTTCAATTATGGAATAACAAAATTTTCTTATTGTTGCATTGGATAAATGTCAAAGTAAGTGACACTGTTATTAGAAGTGCTTTCAATAAGGTCGTGGTTAGTATTTTGATTGGTTATTTGTTGTATATAAGTTTTTTGTTTTATTCCCTTAATGAATTATTATGTTATTTTAGTGGTTGTTAGTGATATTGTGGGTCAAAAGAAGAGTTATGTTATCATGCTGGTCATTGTGAACACAAACTGTATCAATACACTCATTTTTTTCAAACAAAAATTGTCAAACCACACAGAAAAGGGTTAAATATGTTTTTAGTCCCTAAACTATTGGCCGTTTCTGGTTTTCGTCCCTCTTTCAAAGTAAGGTACAATTTGGTCCTTATTCTTTTCGAAAACGTTCGTTTTAGTCCTCGAAAACTAACACCGTTTAAAAATTTGGTCCTCATTTAGCAACAAAATGAGGACTAAAACCAAAGTTCCGAGAACTAAAACGAACGTTTCGAAAAGAATGAGGACCAAATTGTACCTTACTTTGAAAGAGGGACGAAAACCAGAAACGACCAAGAGTTTAGGGACTAAAAACATATTTAACCCCACAGAAAATAAGTGGGTAGTAATGACCAAATAAGTGGATAATTGTGTTGGACTTTCTGTACATGTTTTCTTACATTTAATTCGTTCAAGGTTGATATACTACCTATCTACCAATAAGGTCATCATAATTAGAAACTGTGAACACAAACTGCATCAATACACTCACTTTTTCCAAACAAAAATTATCAAACCACACATAAAAAATAAGTGGGGAGCAATGACTAAATAAGTGGGTACTTGTGTAGGATTTTTTGTACAAGTTTATTACCATTACATAGATTTCGAAGACATTAACAAATTTTGTAAAACTTCAAACCAATTTATTAAACGTTAAGTACAACTCCTTACAACATAAATTTACATGTTTTACCTTGTACATTAGTATGTTCCAATAAATAACAATCTACATTGATAATTGGAACAAATAAATTTAAGTTTTCAAGCACTTTTTCCCTTCAAATATTGTCTTTATCTAGTATCCAATCACACATATATTTTTTCCTAATGTGTTGTAGTTGCTCTTGCACAAACAAATATTATTCAGTCATACGAGGTTACTGTTAACTAACATAACACAAAAGCATAATATCAAAGTATGTAACAAATATTAACATTATTAAACATTGTTCTACTTACATCGATTTATTCAAGAATGTTTTTCCATCATATTTAAAAACATTTTTCCACGACTCAATCATTTTAATAACAATAACTCCACGATTATATCTAAAACAATCATAACACCATGTAAACAAATTATCATAGTAAACCTTAATAAAATGTATATATATTCAATGGGATAATACTTTGGTGAAAAACAATAAGCCAAACCACTTACATATTTGGTTGAATAGGAATAGCGACGTACTGTTCTTCAAATATTGACTTTGTGTCTTGAATAGAATTTGACAACATAGAAAATATGAGTTTCATATTATAGACTAGCACATACATAAGAGTAAATAAGAGAAAGAAGAACATAAATTCGAAAAACAAGGTATTAGAAGGTAACCTAGATTTTCGTACCTTAAAAACTCGAAAAAAAGAAGGAAGGAACTATAGTAACATTTTATTGTGTAATTTTTCATCCAAATATTTCCATGTGAATAGCTTGTAAAATAATGATCAAAATAATTAAAAAATAACACATTTGCTTTATTTCTTTGTTGTCGTTACAAGGATCAACATGGCCAGAAGAGATAGGAGCAGCGAAAATGGTTTGACCAATGATCATTGAGCCTCCACACCACATGTATCGTCCTCTTATGTGGATAAGCCACACCAACTCAAACAAAACTCCAAAACTCAAACCCCATCATGTTCCCTTCCTTCCATTCTCTTCTCTCCACTTTCAAACACCACTCATAGACACACAATCACCCTTTTTTCTCATTCAAAAACTCACCATACCATGTCCGTTCAGGCACGACGGCTTGCCGTTTTCTGCGCCCATCTTAACCCGACCCGATTACCTCCGGATCCTCCCGCTCTATTTCTTTCGCCTTCCCTCTGTGCTCCTCATTCCGACGCCGAAAACCGCACTCTGCAAGACGATTGCGTTTTCTGCAACATTATTCGTGGCCAATTACCAGCTTTGAAGGTACACACTTTTTATTTTTGGAAACTGTGGTCAACGATCAAACCCTCGTTCAATGTTTTTCAGAATCTACACAGTTAATGGCATCAATTTTGTTCCGAATGATAATGTTTGCGGGATTGCAAATTTCCAAACTCCTAAGTTACTGATTGATTTTAGTTCGTGACATGAATAATTTTTACGGAGCAATTTGTTGTTGTGAATCTTAAAAGGCTGGAGCACGGGTTGTATGATTCATGTATAATGAGTTTTCCAAATTCATTGATGTGGTGATTTTTTTTCTGCCACGTGTTATAAATAATTCTGCATTTTGTAAAGCTGCTAAGCCAATTGCCTCGGTGAATCACTGTGTGTTGGTTAAACATACATGAACATTATTCAATGTGTTTACTGGTTCATTTTGTTGCCAAAACATGGATAAATAGAGTTTGAGAAGCTCTATGTTTCTGAAAAGAAAAATCTAACAGCTAAGCCTTATGGTGCAAGCTTTATATGTGCTAAGAAATCATAAATGCCTTAGTTGATGCAGTGAAATATTGTGTTTATAAATTGGACACACGAAACATTTTGTGTTTATTTAGTAGGGGCCATGGTTATGTTTCATATTTTGTTGATTGGAGTTTGATACTGAACCTGTGATAATCAGAGACAGAGATGGGGAGAGGGGAGAGTTTTATTAATAATTGAAACCTAGCTTCAAGAACCTGAAAATCTTACCACTATTGAAAAGTATTGATAGATGGAATTTCTTAGTTTAAATTTATGAATAATTGAAATACTGATGTTTATTCTAGCAAAAGTTTGTGAACGCTTCACCTAATCGACTAGAGTTTTCCATTGTTGGTTTTGATGCTTTGGGCCTTAAAATAAAGGGAGCCTCGTTACCATGTGACCTAGAACTTAACCTCTAGGTTACCCTCTTGCAAACCTAATCGAGGTTCAAATTCTGGAAGTGACCTCATGCAAATGCAAGCTAAGGTTGCAAACTACAGACGTGGACAATGGTTTAACCCTTCCTTGGATCTTTTGCATAGTGGTAGCATTATCGGACAAGGTTACCTTAGCTTTCAATGCTTACACATCAGGAACTATTTAAAATTGTTAATTTTCTTTTTTTAGTTCTTCCAAACATGTTTATTTTTACATTTTCAATCCAAGTACTTATTTGTTGTCATTGCTCTTTTGTTATAATTAATATACTCTTCAACCATGTTTTTCATAACTTTGACCTTACTTATCTTAATATTTTGTCAAACCAACAGCTTTATGAAGATGACACGTGCCTATGCATACTGGATACAAGTCCGCTGAGTCATGGGTAAGGTGTCATGTCTCAAGGTGCAATTCCATATAGGTATATCATAAGGCATTGTATTTTTGTTATTTCACTATTTTATGGACATATATATAGACATCACAACTTGAGTAAATAAGAGGCATGTCTTTTGAGTTTTATATTTGAGTTGTGACATTGAATGTCAAAATTGCTTCATTTAGTCAATATTTAATGTCTTCAATCCCTTTCCATTGCATTTCCTTTATGTCATAATGCAATTTTGAAGTCATTCTGGTGCACAATCTAAGTTAACACGAAAACTGCTTGTCCTGGTAAGCCAATCTTTCATAATACATTAAGCAAAATAATATCCCAAAACAAATTGTGTTTTAGATTTTTCTGAAAATTTAAATATCTTCCCTTCTAATATTAGCATTCATAAATGATAGCACTTGGTAACATACACACACTCACAACATGTCAACAACCACCAACGAACAATAAGAAGAAACAACAAAAGTATAACGTTTGTAGGATTAAAAGATCTAGAATAACCCCAGATAATTTCCAAAAAATTAATCTCCTACAGATGCAGTGTCAGCTTTCCAACAAAACAGGAGACCTACCCAAAGTTAACGGGGAGAACTACAGGTCCCACTAACATTGTAATCAACTATCTTGTAATCTGATTAAAAAAAATAGAAGTGGTTTGCCATTCAGACTCAGAGGTCATAACAACCAAAGTGAAGTTAATTGGAAAGGAAACACCAGCAAGGTACTAGTGGTTCCTTTTAAGAATCGAATAAGACACATCTAGTGCAACGAAGGTGAATAATATAAACAAAATAAATAAAATGTGCACATGTATAAGAAGTTAGGAAATAAATGTAAAGATGATTTTGTTTACTGAGAAAGCATAAAATAGTATGTAAAGGTGATGATGAAATATAACCATTTCCATAAAGGAAAGTTGTAGGGTTTTTTCAATATTCCACTGTTCACACTTGTGACAACCAAACTTGAAAGTTTTCATCTCATTGATGGCCATACCTCCGATGTTGATGCATCCCTAGGGCGATATAATCTAATGGATAATTCTTTACTCAATCACATAATATGATCTCATGCTGTGGGGCAGGGCTTCATCTCATTGATAACCCTTTCTAGATACAGGATGATCCGTCAAACGAATAGCTCTTTTTCTCTTGGAAATTGGAATAAAATATACTTATGCATAACTAGATTTGCTTAGACTGTTATCTGCACTAATGCCTACGGGATTCTAACATGGGCTCCCCATAAATATTTAAATATTAATATCCACTTGTTTTATACCAAAGGAATAACATGAGATCAAGTTAGCCACTAATAGATACATTTTGCTCAATTCCCTGTTTTCAACCTCAAGTCTACAAAATAAAAACACGGGGGTTGCAATGACTACTTGGGATGTTTTCTGTGAGGATAAAATGAGAGTAAGAAGAATTAGAGGACGAGAAACAAAGATTTAAAGCATTAGGTTAAGTGGGCATGTCATACAAGTATAGAATCTCTGGACAACAATTTGAAGAACAGAGTAGGAATGGAGTCTTTGGCTGAGGGGAAAGAAATAATAGAAAACATGGGTAGCTGCATAACAGGGATCATAGGAAGAAAAAAGGGAAGAAAAGTAAACAAGTGGGAGGTTTTTATTTCAAGCTAATTACAGAATTGTCATGCAGCCTTTTTCTTTTTCTGGTGATGCATTTCAAAACAAAAATATTCTAAACAGTGCAAGTCAATTTGGAAGAAAAGTGATGTAAACTTTTGTTTTTAATTCTGAAACAATATTTAAATACCATGGTTAAATTTACAATTGTTGGATAATTTCTTTGTTTGTCAATGGCATAGTGTTTGATTTGGTAATCATCTTTGCCTAAAAGTTTACAATCCGAGTCCTTTTACTTTTTCAGCTATACTGCATGGTGTTTTTTATTTATCTACTTCTCACTTCTACGTTGTGTTTTCTAGGCACTCCCTCATTATCCCAAAATCTCATTTTCCTTCTCTGGATGCTACTCCTCCATCAGTAAGTAATTTTCAATAGGTACACAAGAAGATTTGCTTTATTATTTTGTAACTTCTTTAATGACTTACTCTATAATTTTAAGTCAATAATAAATTCTTTCTTCAAGAGGAAAGTCCTTCTGTGAAGGTTCTTGGGAAGGATGTTAGTGGTGTATCAATAATGAAATTAAATATATTCATTATTGTTTAAAGTTAACATATGCATGCATAGTGATATATCTCTACTTAATCAGTGAAATGACTTGTTTAATTCTTAATCCTAAACCCTAGGATAATGACTGTAAAGTGAGGAGATTTTTCTTTTGAAATGATTGTCAACCTTGTTGTATCCTAGTTGACACAGCAAAGGGATAAATAGTGCATGATGGCGAGAGTGAACATATAAACCAAATAATGAAGATTTTGAGTGTTTCAGCATTTTTCTTTTCAATTTCCTCAAGCTCGTAAACTCTGCTAAATTTGTTGCTCTGTAAAGTGCAATAGAGACAAAATTCTCCTGTTTATTTACCCAAAATGCTCCACATTACTAATATGAATTTGTATCATCCCTATCTCCAAACTTGGTTGGTTGTTATCTTTTGATAGGTTATCTCTCTCTAGTTATTAATTGAAAGGTGTTGGTCCTGATTGATTATTTGTTTTTGTCAAACGTGTTTCAAAGCTCTTATTTAGCTAGCCTGATTGGCTATTATGCAGGTGGTAGCTGCAATGTTTTCAAAAGTTCCCTTCATTAGCAATGCAATCATGAAGGCTACTGGCTGCAGTATGTACTTCAATACCTGTACATTTATCTGAACTCTACTATGTGCTGTNCGTTTAAAAATTTGGTCCTCATTTAGCAACAAAATGAGGACTAAAACCAAAGTTCCGAGAACTAAAACGAACGTTTCGAAAAGAATGAGGACCAAATTGTACCTTACTTTGAAAGAGGGACGAAAACCAGAAACGACCAAGAGTTTAGGGACTAAAAACATATTTAACCCCACAGAAAATAAGTGGGTAGTAATGACCAAATAAGTGGATAATTGTGTTGGACTTTCTGTACATGTTTTCTTACATTTAATTCGTTCAAGGTTGATATACTACCTATCTACCAATAAGGTCATCATAATTAGAAACTGTGAACACAAACTGCATCAATACACTCACTTTTTCCAAACAAAAATTATCAAACCACACATAAAAAATAAGTGGGGAGAAATGACTAAATAAGTGGGTACTTGTGTAGGATTTTTTGTACAAGTTTATTACCATTACATAGATTTCGAAGACATTAACAAATTTTGTAAAACTTCAAACCAATTTATTAAACGTTAAGTACAACTCCTTACAACATAAATTTACATGTTTTACCTTGTACATTAGTATGTTCCAATAAATAACAATCTACATTGATAATTGGAACAAATAAATTTAAGTTTTCAAGCACTTTTTCCCTTCAAATATTGTCTTTATCTAGTATCCAATCACACATATATTTTTTCCTAATGTGTTGTAGTTGCTCTTGCACAAACAAATATTATTCAGTCATACGAGGTTACTGTTAACTAACATAACACAAAAGCATAATATCAAAGTATGTAACAAATATTAACATTATTAAACATTGTTCTACTTACATCGATTTATTCAAGAATGTTTTTCCATCATATTTAAAAACATTTTTCCACGACTCAATCATTTTAATAACAATAACTCCACGATTATATCTAAAACAATCATAACACCATGTAAACAAATTATCATAGTAAACCTTAATAAAATGTATATATATTCAATGGGATAATACTTTGGTGAAAAACAATAAGCCAAACCACTTACATATTTGGTTGAATAGGAATAGCGACGTACTGTTCTTCAAATATTGACTTTGTGTCTTGAATAGAATTTAACAACATAGAAAATATGAGTTTCATATTATAGACTAGCACATAAATAAGAGTAAATAAGAGAAAGAAGAACATAAATTCGAAAAACAAGGTATTAGAAGGTAACCTAGATTTTCGTACCTTAAAAACTCGAAAAAAAGAAGGAAGGAACTATAGTAACATTTTATTGTGTAATTTTTCATCCAAATATTTCCATGTGAATAGCTTGTAAAATAATGATCAAAATAATTAAAAAATAACACATTTGCTTTATTTCTTTGTTGTCGTTACAAGGATCAACATGGCCAGAAGAGATAGGAGCAGCGAAAATGGTTTGACCAATGATCATTGAGCCTCCACACCACATGTATCGTCCTCTTATGTGGATAAGCCACACCAACTCAAACAAAACTCCAAAACTCAAACCCCATCATGTTCCCTTCCTTCCATTCTCTTCTCTCCACTTTCAAACACCACTCATAGACACACAATCACCCTTTTTTCTCATTCAAAAACTCACCATACCATGTCCGTTCAGGCACGACGGCTTGCCGTTTTCTGCGCCCATCTTAACCCGACCCGATTACCTCCGGATCCTCCCGCTCTATTTCTTTCGCCTTCCCTCTGTGCTCCTCATTCCGACGCCGAAAACCGCACTCTGCAAGACGATTGCGTTTTCTGCAACATTATTCGTGGCCAATTACCAGCTTTGAAGGTACACACTTTTTATTTTTGGAAACTGTGGTCAACGATCAAACCCTCGTTCAATGTTTTTCAGAATCTACACAGTTAATGGCATCAATTTTGTTCCGAATGATAATGTTTGCGGGATTGCAAATTTCCAAACTCCTAAGTTACTGATTGATTTTAGTTCGTGACATGAATAATTTTTACGGAGCAATTTGTTGTTGTGAATCTTAAAAGGCTGGAGCACGGGTTGTATGATTCATGTATAATGAGTTTTCCAAATTCATTGATGTGGTGATTTTTTTTCTGCCACGTGTTATAAATAATTCTGCATTTTGTAAAGCTGCTAAGCCAATTGCCTCGGTGAATCACTGTGTGTTGGTTAAACATACATGAACATTATTCAATGTGTTTACTGGTTCATTTTGTTGCCAAAACATGGATAAATAGAGTTTGAGAAGCTCTATGTTTCTGAAAAGAAAAATCTAACAGCTAAGCCTTATGGTGCAAGCTTTATATGTGCTAAGAAATCATAAATGCCTTAGTTGATGCAGTGAAATATTGTGTTTATAAATTGGACACACGAAACATTTTGTGTTTATTTAGTAGGGGCCATGGTTATGTTTCATATTTTGTTGATTGGAGTTTGATACTGAACCTGTGATAATCAGAGACAGAGATGGGGAGAGGGGAGAGTTTTATTAATAATTGAAACCTAGCTTCAAGAACCTGAAAATCTTACCACTATTGAAAAGTATTGATAGATGGAATTTCTTAGTTTAAATTTATGAATAATTGAAATACTGATGTTTATTCTAGCAAAAGTTTGTGAACGCTTCACCTAATCGACTAGAGTTTTCCATTGTTGGTTTTGATGCTTTGGGCCTTAAAATAAAGGGAGCCTCGTTACCATGTGACCTAGAACTTAACCTCTAGGTTACCCTCTTGCAAACCTAATCGAGGTTCAAATTCTGGAAGTGACCTCATGCAAATGCAAGCTAAGGTTGCAAACTACAGACGTGGACAATGGTTTAACCCTTCCTTGGATCTTTTGCATAGTGGTAGCATTATCGGACAAGGTTACCTTAGCTTTCAATGCTTACACATCAGGAACTATTTAAAATTGTTAATTTTCTTTTTTTAGTTCTTCCAAACATATTTATTTTTACATTTTCAATCCAAGTACTTATTTGTTGTCATTGCTCTTTTGTTATAATTAATATACTCTTCAACCATGTTTTTCATAACTTTGACCTTACTTATCTTAATATTTTGTCAAACCAACAGCTTTATGAAGATGACACGTGCCTATGCATACTGGATACAAGTCCGCTGAGTCATGGGTAAGGTGTCATGTCTCAAGGTGCAATTCCATATAGGTATATCATAAGGCATTGTATTTTTGTTATTTCACTATTTTATGGACATATATATAGACATCACAACTTGAGTAAATAAGAGGCATGTCTTTTGAGTTTTATATTTGAGTTGTGACATTGAATGTCAAAATTGCTTCATTTAGTCAATATTTAATGTCTTCAATCCCTTTCCATTGCATTTCCTTTATGTCATAATGCAATTTTGAAGTCATTCTGGTGCACAATCTAAGTTAACACGAAAACTGCTTGTCCTGGTAAGCCAATCTTTCATAATACATTAAGCAAAATAATATCCCAAAACAAATTGTGTTTTAGATTTTTCTGAAAATTTAAATATCTTCCCTTCTAATATTAGCATTCATAAATGATAGCACTTGGTAACATACACACACTCACAACATGTCAACAACCACCAACGAACAATAAGAAGAAACAACAAAAGTATAACGTTTGTAGGATTAAAAGATCTAGAATAACCCCAGATAATTTCCAAAAAATTAATCTCCTACAGATGCAGTGTCAGCTTTCCAACAAAACAGGAGACCTACCCAAAGTTAACGGGGAGAACTACAGGTCCCACTAACATTGTAATCAACTATCTTGTAATCTGATTAAAAAAAATAGAAGTGGTTTGCCATTCAGACTCAGAGGTCATAACAACCAAAGTGAAGTTAATTGGAAAGGAAACACCAGCAAGGTACTAGTGGTTCCTTTTAAGAATCGAATAAGACACATCTAGTGCAACGAAGGTGAATAATATAAACAAAATAAATAAAATGTGCACATGTATAAGAAGTTAGGAAATAAATGTAAAGATGATTTTGTTTACTGAGAAAGCATAAAATAGTATGTAAAGGTGATGATGAAATATAACCATTTCCATAAAGGAAAGTTGTAGGGTTTTTTCAATATTCCACTGTTCACACTTGTGACAACCAAACTTGAAAGTTTTCATCTCATTGATGGCCATACCTCCGATGTTGATGCATCCCTAGGGCGATATAATCTAATGGATAATTCTTTACTCAATCACATAATATGATCTCATGCTGTGGGGCAGGGCTTCATCTCATTGATAACCCTTTCTAGATACAGGATGATCCGTCAAACGAATAGCTCTTTTTCTCTTGGAAATTGGAATAAAATATACTTATGCATAACTAGATTTGCTTAGACTGTTATCTGCACTAATGCCTACGGGATTCTAACATGGGCTCCCCATAAATATTTAAATATTAATATCCACTTGTTTTATACCAAAGGAATAACATGAGATCAAGTTAGCCACTAATAGATACATTTTGCTCAATTCCCTGTTTTCAACCTCAAGTCTACAAAATAAAAACACGGGGGTTGCAATGACTACTTGGGATGTTTTCTGTGAGGATAAAATGAGAGTAAGAAGAATTAGAGGACGAGAAACAAAGATTTAAAGCATTAGGTTAAGTGGGCATGTCATACAAGTATAGAATCTCTGGACAACAATTTGAAGAACAGAGTAGGAATGGAGTCTTTGGCTGAGGGGAAAGAAATAATAGAAAACATGGGTAGCTGCATAACAGGGATCATAGGAAGAAAAAAGGGAAGAAAAGTAAACAAGTGGGAGGTTTTTATTTCAAGCTAATTACAGAATTGTCATGCAGCCTTTTTCTTTTTCTGGTGATGCATTTCAAAACAAAAATATTCTAAACAGTGCAAGTCAATTTGGAAGAAAAGTGATGTAAACTTTTGTTTTTAATTCTGAAACAATATTTAAATACCATGGTTAAATTTACAATTGTTGGATAATTTCTTTGTTTGTCAATGGCATAGTGTTTGATTTGGTAATCATCTTTGCCTAAAAGTTTACAATCCGAGTCCTTTTACTTTTTCAGCTATACTGCATGGTGTTTTTTATTTATCTACTTCTCACTTCTACGTTGTGTTTTCTAGGCACTCCCTCATTATCCCAAAATCTCATTTTCCTTCTCTGGATGCTACTCCTCCATCAGTAAGTAATTTTCAATAGGTACACAAGAAGATTTGCTTTATTATTTTGTAACTTCTTTAATGACTTACTCTATAATTTTAAGTCAATAATAAATTCTTTCTTCAAGAGGAAAGTCCTTCTGTGAAGGTTCTTGGGAAGGATGTTAGTGGTGTATCAATAATGAAATTAAATATATTCATTATTGTTTAAAGTTAACATATGCATGCATAGTGATATATCTCTACTTAATCAGTGAAATGACTTGTTTAATTCTTAATCCTAAACCCTAGGATAATGACTGTAAAGTGAGGAGATTTTTCTTTTGAAATGATTGTCAACCTTGTTGTATCCTAGTTGACACAGCAAAGGGATAAATAGTGCATGATGGCGAGAGTGAACATATAAACCAAATAATGAAGATTTTGAGTGTTTCAGCATTTTTCTTTTCAATTTCCTCAAGCTCGTAAACTCTGCTAAATTTGTTGCTCTGTAAAGTGCAATAGAGACAAAATTCTCCTGTTTATTTACCCAAAATGCTCCACATTACTAATATGAATTTGTATCATCCCTATCTCCAAACTTGGTTGGTTGTTATCTTTTGATAGGTTATCTCTCTCTAGTTATTAATTGAAAGGTGTTGGTCCTGATTGATTATTTGTTTTTGTCAAACGTGTTTCAAAGCTCTTATTTAGCTAGCCTGATTGGCTATTATGCAGGTGGTAGCTGCAATGTTTTCAAAAGTTCCCTTCATTAGCAATGCAATCATGAAGGCTACTGGCTGCAGTATGTACTTCAATACCTGTACATTTATCTGAACTCTACTATGTGCTGTTCTCTTATATGGCATAGATTTAAAAAATTCAATTGAAACCGTGCTGGTAGATATTGAATGAGCTTGTGTAAGCTTAAAAATAAATTGCTTTAAGAAACGTAATGAAAGTAAGTTATTCTTACGAAAACAGAAATTACTTATGCTTGGATATAATTATAAAAAATCTTTTTTTATCATTAAACATGTCTTTCCGTTTTTGAAAACAGATTCTGCACTAGCTTATTGTTGATTTCTGCTTTTTTAACCAAGTTTAAACAAACATCTAAAAAGATATATTAAATGTATTTTGTATCAAATTTTTTTTTCTCAAAATAAAAGTCAAACAAACTCGCCCATTGTATGGATTCCTCACCTTGGTTATTTATAGCAACAGTGACGGAAAAATTATTAACTTCTGTGTATGCTTGTTTTGTAATGCGGTTCTATGAATATTTAGGAGTGTACCCACTTTCATTGAAAGATATCATCAAATTTTTTGTTGTTGTTTGTTTGGAGAAAAATTACAATTACATGTTTTTTTCAGATCGGTTGATCATCTACTCTTTTGATAGTTCTATTATATAATCTCACGCCATGTAGTTTCATAGTATGTTTTGTATTCCTTCAGGTTCATTCAACCTGTTGGTCAACAATGGGGCAGCTGCTGGCCAAGTAATATACCATGTAAGATTTTAGATCTTCTATAATGTCACTTGCACTTTTATGGAATCATACATTTACTCGGATCACCAAAATTTGCAAGTTTTGAAATGTGGTTAATTTTGCTATAAAACGTGCTTTTCAGACACATGTTCACATAATTCCCCGTAAAGCATACGATTGTTTATGGGCTTCTGAGGTAAAATTTCATTTCCTTTTGATACGATATGGATATATGGTATTATAACGATATAAAGATGTTATGGGAGTACTAATCAATAACACAATTCTTTAACTTTAGAGTTTGCTAAGGCGACGCGTTAATTTAGATGATGAGAAAGTTTCTCAGCTCGCAGCTCGTATTCAGAAGCAGTTATTGCCATCTGACATGAGCCAGGAAAGCAAGAATGAAAATTTTTGTTCATGTAAAAGTTAGTTGGATTATTCATCTGTTGTAACTTAAAAGTTTATATTTTCATTCAGAAGAATAATGCATACGCATAACTATTATCCAATGTAACACTCAACTTCAAAAATTGGGTAGTTGAGATTTTTGAACCATTGTTAAACCCAAGCCAAAAAAACTCAACTACTCATCTCTCGTCTATCCAGTATGAGGGTTATGTCAGATATTTTTTTGTACATGCATTATTTTCCTTTTATTTATGTTCCTATGTATCAGTCGAATTTTTAATTTATCTGTAATATATTTATAAGAAGGATTTACTAGAAGAGGGCATCTATATAATTTTTATGCTAATATTCTGAAGCTCAAAATTGTGATATCAAAGACTCCAGGCTTTTCTCTGCATAAACCCAAGTATCAATAATCTTCATTCCCTTTCAGCATCTTTAATTGGAGTTAATTTGCTCATATGAGTATTTTATTAATAAAAGTAATATTTTAATTTTATGAATATTTTAACATGGTTTATGGATTTATATATTTGAAGAACTTTTCAATACTTGAGGAATTATGTAGCATTATCCTAATGTTTTTTATAATTATATGTATGACTTCACTGGTTTAAGGACTATTTAAAAAACAATTGACACTTCAAGTACTAATTTCATGGTTTTTTCCTTCTTTTTGGAAAAACCATATTGACTTATCTGAGGTTGCCATGCAAAGAGAAAAAAAAATCATAAAAACTGTTCGGGGAGCATTAAAAAATGTCTTTAATTACCTTTTCTTTTTCTTTTTTTATTCAATTTGATATTTTATTGATAAATTTTTTAATCAAATCTCTCAAATTTTAAAAAAATACAACAATGTGATAATTTCCTATACAATTATTATTATTATCGTTAAGATAAAGTATTGACTATTTTAATTTAGATGTTATATAATTTATAATAAGCATGTGGTTAAAATTTATATAACTAATTATATAAATTCAAACATATACAATCATTACATTGCTAAGTTTTTTTAATTTAAAAAACTTGATTTAACATTAAAATAATCATATTGGTACCAATCTAAAATTGGGGAGTTTAGTAGAATATTTGATTAATAGAGAGACTTCATTAACTTGTTTACTAATTGTTTGGGTTTAAGCTCTCGATTTTAAGTGTATTTTTCATAACGGTCTCTAAACTTCAGGTTTGGGTCAAGATTTTCCCTCCACTTCACATTAGATTTATAGATTTCAAGATGAGCTTCTGATTAATTATGACCTAATTAGGTCAAATGGTAATGGTCTAGCTTAGGATTAATTAACGTTAACTCTACTTTTAGTCTGACCGTTTGATTTCCAGATCAACTCCTATGGAACTCTAAATTGATCGATTGTCCAGTTCTTGAGCTGATTAGACAATCATACTATACAATAACCATTGGTTTCAAATTTTTAATATACAAAACAATCATTACTTTTTTTTTCATCACTAAACTATAGCTCTAAATGTGAAATATTAGTTAAAACTAATTAAAAACACTTTAAATTGACATAATAAACATCATTACAAAACATTGTCATTATTCATATCTCAAAACGATCAACCATACACTAGAAATTAAATTTTTTATTTTTTATTTTTTCCATTATTTTTAAAAATCTTATGATACCAAAGAAATTGAAAAAATGGTTTAAACTATGGAATTTGAACATTTAGTACTTAAATCTTTTAGTTTTGATAAGTGAATTCTTTTACCTTATCTAAAGAAGACTTAGGGTAAAATATGTAAGTTTAGTGGGAAATTTCTATAAAAGGCACTTAGGATAAGATATTAATCTTTGGCCTCGCAACCCGAATGAGCCGTGATTGCCTCTTTAAGCTCAAGGTGCAACCTGTCGGCCAATTTTTTGCCTCAGATAATTGAGATTGTAGCCTAGTAGTTACGCCCTTATCTGAGGCATGACGTACGATGGCATACCCCTAACCATGGTCTAGTACATTCATGAAGAGTTGGAGTCATCTATGGAAGATGTACCTAGACTTTTTCTCTTGGATCATCTTAAGTTATCATGAAGATTCAAGGTCCAATGTTGATCAATGTTATACGTCTTTTGGCATGGAGTTGACCAATGGGTCAAAATTTTTTGCCAAGCTTGGAGGACAAGGGGAATTTTCGTCTTAGACATGTAGAGACACCTTATTGGATACAGGAGTAAAAAACTTGTAGTTGAACACAATTATTATGTTGTTTATAATTGTTAATCCATTATATTCCGTCTTTTCTTAAGAGTCTTGGCGTTGTCTCATTTAACTCTTTTTTGTAGTTGTGTTTATTTCTAATTTTATTGTTTTATGTCTTTTAAAATTCCTTTAAGTTTTGTCTAGAGTCTTATTTTCTTTTACCTCTTCAATCAAGATTTAGATCTCCCAACTTTTTCATATTGATTTATCACTCTCTATTTAAGCTACTAGAATTTTTTGCTAAGCGATAAAGGAAATTTTAGTGAAAAAAGAAAAAAAAAGATTATTTAAAAAAAAAAAGAGAGGAAAGAGTGTGATACACGAGTGGATTGTTTAGTAGAACAATTATAAGAATGACAAGGTTTTTAAAATATTACTTTATTTTTTCTTCCTAATCTTTCTTGTAGGATTTAGCAACATTGAGCAATACAACATATTTCAACAAAGACTTCCTTTAGGAAGTGGTTTCACACAAATTCGTTTAACCTATCTTTCTACTCACCGAGATCATTTGATTAGTTGAAATGAAAGTACTAAGAGAGTTGCACGAAGAGATACATCTAGTGCTTGTGTGATCATAGGGAGGAGGAAGTCAATAAAATCGTGTCACACAAAGTATACCTAAATTGAAAAATAAGAAATCTTAGAGGAAGGCACAAGCATGACAAAATCTTTGCCAACATATAGGACAAGTGTTCTAAGAGGCACTAAATGTGAAGGCTACATTTAGTAAGATAAATTCATTCTTTCATTATTTTTTCTGCCGACTGTGATCGTGGTTAATTAGGTTTTCTACTCAGGAACCTAACATTACTTGTATGGATCCTCATCAGCCAAGCCATGAAACTTTGGCAGCAGCTGGATCAGTTTTGGGTTCAATTCAAAGTTGGCAGCCCCTTCAGAATGTGGAATCTGGATATACAGAGGTTGGTAGCCTACATCCTGGTTTGCCAGCTCCTTCAAGGTTCTCTCACGTTGCAGGTCCATGTCTCTCAATTGACTGTTTCTGGTTCAACAGGCTTGATAGTTTGGTCAATGGATTCTGAATCAAACTCGTTCAGCTTCTCCTTCTAGCCTCTCAATTTCAGGGTCAAATTTGTGTATTGAATCTGATCTGCACCTGATGATGATACACTTACAGCAAACACAGTGACAGAAATAGGGCAATGAACACAGCCAAAAACAGTATGTAACAGTAGCAGAAAAATCTAAACAACTCCTACCTAGAATGATCAAACTAAAAGTAAAAAAACATAAACTACATACAAATGGCTACTAAATCATTGTTCCCTGGCAACGGGCGCCATTGTGCTAGAGGCCTTAGTCGCCATTTTAAAGATTTTCTCAGGTTAAAAACTCTCCAAAGACAGTGTGTTCCTCTTATTTCTTTAGTTTTGCATCCACACCAAAACAATAGTCAATTAGAAGTTGCAAACATTTCTGGCAAAATGTAGCAGGAGATACCTGGGTTGCACAGCAGAACCCACCAGCACAGCATCATTACCATGAAGGAATCAAGGCTTTTATAGGCCCTGCTAGGGTGACAAATAGTTTCAAGTAGGCCTACAAAATGTCCAGGGACTAGTTAGTTGAGTTAAGTGAAAGGAACGCAAAGAATCATTCCTACAGTTACATTTCAGAAATTTGATAACAGCAAATTGTCCTGTAATAGTTAAGGTTTGTAGCTCTTCAGAGGAACAGCTGAAAAATTTACCAAATCTTGATCAATTTTCCCCAGAGTATCCATATTGAAGTCTTTATATGAACATAATGTAGTTTGGAAATTTTGGTAGCTTGAAAGTGTTTCCATCATGCTCCTTAGTGCCATAAGCATCACACCCAATAATCACCAGTCACTTAATGACTGTCATATTAACAAGCACCAAAATCATGGGATAATTTTAAACCCAAAATCCAATCAGTGAAGCTATCTGACTTTGCAATTCCACCTGCAAGTTATACAAGCAACAAAACCATTATACCCATAGGCACATAGTAATAATCATTGACAACTTAAAGCGTATGTTCATGGAAAATTGACTACCGCAGATAAGAATAGCAATCCTAAAAGAATAAGATCAGAATCCTGATATTCTAACCATATGTTTACTATTATTTCACCTGCGTTATGCACCATAGAAACTCTCCAGGCAATATTAAACCATATCAGTTTTGCGCAAGTTTTTGATCATTATGTATATGGCCCCCAAGTGCAGAAGTCACTTCAACATAGAAATTGGCCACAAAATGCGATACAAATGCCAAGCTGTGTTTCCTTGCATATTTATGCATCTGAATTATGAAAATACATGCAATTGATCATAACATTATAGTTGTATCAATATATTTTGACATTTCTTAAGATAACTGTGCATCCAGCATCGTCCAGAACAATCATTGTCCTGATACATATGAATCTAGTCTTCAGATGTCAAACTCACCATTCTTTTACCATTTGTTTGTCAGGAATTCAACATATCAGATTAGTAGTTACTAAGTCACCAATCATGACATCATATTCATAGTTTTTCACAAAAGGCTCCAACCAGGCTCCTTCATCCCTTTTCCTTTCAATGAGTTTCTAATCTTTGTGACTTCTTCCCACTGTCCTACATCTGCACAGATATTTGAAAATGACACATAAACTCCAGCATCACTTGGCCCCAATTCCAATATCTTTTTGGCTGCTAACTTGCCAAGCTCAAAATCACCATGGACCTTGCAAGCAGCAAGCAAAGTTCCCCATATTAAAGCATCAGGCTCAACAAGCATCTTGTTGATGAAACTTTCAGCCTCCCTCAGTCTACCTGATCGACCAAGAAGATCAATAAGACAAGCATAATGACGATAACCTGGCTTAATGTTGTAATCTTGACACATCGAATTGAGATAAAAGAAGGCTTCTTCAACCAGCCCACTATGACTACATGCCAATAGGATCCCAACAAAAATTACGGCATCAGGCTGGACTCCTTGTTTTCTCATAAGTTCATAAGCAGCTAAAGCCTCTGCACCCTTACCATGCTGAGCATAGCTCACTATGATGGATGTCCAACCTATCAGATCAGGCTTCTTAACATCATCAAATGCTTTCTGACAATCCTCGATACTCCCACATTTTGAGTACATTGTCACTAGTGAACTACCAATAGATACATCTGCTCGAACGCCCAATTTTTCAGTGTAGGCATGCAGTTGTGCTCCAATGTCTGGCCGATACAAAACTGCAGCACCCCCAAGAATGGATGAAATTGTGAAGGCATCAACTGTCATATCAGTTCGGCACATTTCACAAAATAACAAAAGTGACTCTTCAATTAGACCCTTTTGAGCATAACCTGAGACCAAGGAAGAAAGAGCAAACGCATCCTTTTGTGGCAGCATATCAAACACTGTCCTTGCTATGTTCAAGCCTCCACATTTTGAATACATGTTTACAAGTGCACCGCCAACAACTATGTTTGTTCCTATTCCTAAACGGAGAGCATAACCATGAATTTCTTTGCCAGTCTTTAAGACACAAAGATCAGAACATGCAGCTAAAGTAGAGGTTAAGGTAATGTTATCAGGTTCAATTTCTTGATATAGCATTTCTTTAAATAGCTGAAGAGATCGATATGCATACCCATGCTCTACAAAACCAGAAATCATGGAGGACCATGAAACATAGTCTTTGGCTGGAATTTGCTGAAAAACTTTATAAGATTCTTCTAAACAACCACACTTTGAATACATTGTTAAAAGTGAGCAGCCAACAGAAACGTCAGCAACTAACCCAGACTTCAAAGTGTAACCATTTATCTGTGATCCTAGAAATAAGCAGTTCATAATGCTTAACACACTACTAATACAATATTCATCAGGTTTCACACCTTCTCCGAACATTAAAAGGAACAACTCAACTGCCCTTCTAGAATTTTGGTTCTGTGCAAAAGAAGACAACATGGCTGCCCATGTGCACTGATCCTTTTTATTTTTAATCTCACTAAAGGCTAACTCGGATAGTCCAAGTTCTCCTATTTTTGCATACATATGGATCAAAGCAGTTCCAACCTTAGGATCCACATTGAACCCTAATTTTAATACCAAGGAATGAATTTCACCAGCCTCCTTAATCATCCCGGGTTTTGCACATGCAGAAAGTACACTAGTAAGAGTATAGTTATTTGTTTCGTGCCCTATTGCTCTCATATTTTTGAAAAGCTTTAGTGCAAAAATGATATCATCCTCTTGCACAAATCCACAAATGATTGCAGTCCAGGAGACCACATTGTGAACTTGCATTTGGGAAAATTGTCTAAAAGCTTCATTCATACCTCCAAATTTTGCATAGAAATCAACAATAGAAGTCTCCACAAAGACATCTGTCGCACCGCATTTGATTGCCCGCCCATGAACTCCTCTCCCAATATGCAACTCTTTAAGAGCACCACATGCTGTTAAGAGGCTGGGAAATGTATAACTATTTGGCATTACAGATGCATGGTGCATTTGGCGAAACAGATTCAAAGCAACCGAGCTTTCACCACTTTTAACTGCCACGGAAATAATAGCATTCCAACATGCCACATTATCACGCGAAGCATCATAGAAAAACCTTAAAGCCTCCTTAAAGTTACAATTTTTTGAAAACAAATCCACCATTCGAGTCTGAACATAACCACTGGAAAGAAAGCCATTCTTCGTTACAAGTGCATAAACTTGCTTGCCAAATATTGGTGCTTGCAGAGCACTACAGGCTGAAAGAACACTTCCATAACTAAACTCGTCAGGCTCAACACCACGAAAATGCATTCTGCGAAACATCTCCAGGGACTTCTCAAACATTGAATTATGGTCACAACCGGATATCATGATGTTCCAAGAAACAAGATTAGGAAGAGCAATTGTATCAAACAGCTTGTAGGCAATAACCATGTCAGCAGATTTGCAATACCAATCGAGCAAAGTGTTCATGGAGAAGATATCAGATTGTAAATCACAAGTTTTAAGCAAATGGGCATGCAAGATTTCCGTGTTCCTAACATTCTTCCCTGAAAACTTGTAATCACGTAAGAAACTAAGTGGGTTGGAAAATGTGGACTTTTCTTCATGTTTTGCACATGAACCAAATGGGTTTTCCACAAAAGCGAGGGAAGAGGAGAATCTGTTAGCAAGTTGCGAACTTTTCCAGTTGAACTTTTTATTGATTAGATAATTCATAAGGATCATACGGAAGGGGGATAACATCATCACCATATCTACCAAACACTGAATCAGCAATTCAAATCCAAAACTCAAAAACATGACACAGTTAACCATTCCATTGACAAATCTAAAAGCTAGCAATAGGATTAGAATAAATCTTTATTTGTAATCCATACAAATTCATCAAAGCTCCCAAAGGTGTATTTCCCGCTCAAATTTTAGCTTCCCCAAAGTTTTCTAAGGTTTGGGCTTATCGACTAGGGTTTTTAATAGTTGGATTTATTTTTTCTTACTTAATATACATACATGATTGACATAAAATCTAATAAACCAATAATCCCACTAAATTAGGTATCTAGATTTACTAATATTTTTATTATTTTAACTACAATTATATAATAATAAATATAATAAATAATTAGGATTTATTGCATACCATTCTTAGTACTTCATTCACAGTTTATAATTAAAGTATTAAATGCTAAAAATTTAAATGGGCCATTAGTTTTTCTTTATACAACTCATTATTTTTCTAATCACAAATTTTATAACTTATGACCATTTCTAGATATTTTTAAGAAAAAAAAAATAGAATTTTTACTATTATTTTTGAGTTTCATCTTCAAAATTTTAATTAATTTCAGATTTTATTTAACAAAGAAGGTATAATCTCAAAATCTTATAAAATTTTAATAATAATAAATGCAACTTAATCAGAGTATTTTTATAAGTTATTTTTATCAACAAATATTACTTATTTGTATTTTAGGGGAGTTGAACCCCAAACATTTTTCACTCTCGTTTTCGGTTTTGCTTCTAAATCACCTTATAACTTTTAAAAACTTTTTATAAATAAATTTAATTATACACTTAACATTTATAATGAAGAGATTTTTTACATTACAATTAACTTCTTTTCATTTGTAAAATCAATTATATTACTTCTTTTCATCTCATATTCTAATCAACTTATACTTATTAATTACTTTTTTTATTTCAAAAATTTATTCTTAAAAAGAAAATTATGAAAATAAATAAATAAATTATGATATCTATAAGCAAAAATTATGTTATACGAGTTCATTTATAAATATTCTTCTATATATAATTCTTTTAATTTTTTACGTTTAACTAATTCATAATATATTTTAACCTATAAAAATGTCATTTATATTCGTCATTCAATAGTTCAACTATTAATCACCAAACAATATTGACATACCGTTCAAATTCTAACTCTAGAATGATCATCCTGATACATGTATTGATATCAAACTATAGAGGCCTTTGCCTTTGAGGAGGAACAACAACAACATCCTCACCAACAAATCACCACACTCCAAGGTTAATCCTTTCAAGCATCTATGGCTAACAAATAACAAATAGACTAGGGATCTCCTGCTACTCTCCACGATATAACCATCTTTCTCTTCTTGAGACTAGAGGTTATTGAGAGCGTCATAATAACCTATAATTACTAGCTTCATATATCAAAACATACATTTACACATATAGCCATTACAAAGGAATTCTTCTTGAACTCCTTATAACATCATTCACAGGCCATCACTCTTTTCAGTCATATCACAAAGTATAAAGTACAACATTCTATCATTCACCACTAAGCACAAAAGAGAAAATCAATGAAAATGACTAATGAAACCTAGACTCACTGCCCAACGAGAGCAAAACCAATGAGCTCTCACTAAGTTGGCTCGCCTAGCTCTGCTACAACCGAAACTCCCTACAAACTCGCCCAGCGAATCAATTCCACTCGCACAACTAGTGCAAAAACAAAGAACTCCCATAGACCAGTGAGGGAGCTCATCTAACCCCTAAAACTCACTACCAGAACCCTTATTTACTCGCCCAACGAGTAGTTTGCTCGCTCAACCCCT